TTTGTATTCATGCTCAGATGCCGAGGAGCTCAGAAGGTGGGCGACTGTGACCAGTGATAGTCATGTATATAGAGATTAGAAATGCATGTGAAAACATCCAATGTTAATTGCATTGAAAAAGAATTTTTCTGTATGAAGCTGTGTATTTTAATAATGAAATGGAGATCTTTTTTAAAGGTTAAAACGTCATTTAATTTATGTCTTATAGGGTTTATACTGAGTACAATATTGTATAACTGTAATAATTCAACTGTAAACCTAAAAATTTACAGCCAATTTTGAAAGTGATGCATCCTACCTCAGGAAACCGTTATTGAATATGTCAATTGTGTTGTAATGATATGCTTCTTCTAAGTATATTGTTATTAAATAAATCATTTTTGAAAATTAAAAAAAAAACTACTTTCACATATAAATAAGCATACCTTGATGTTTGAGCCATTTCAAAGGCAGTTGTCTCTATAGTTGTCAGTTGAACGGCTTAAGCAAGATGGGGTGGCAGCTATGCAAAGGTACTAGTCGTGACAAAGTTCTCTGAGGAAGGAACGACCTTCTCTGGATCTTTAGCCTTGAGGTTCATACATATGGTAAGGAAGTGATAGTGAGGAAGCAAATAAATTTTGATTATGGATAGAGCCTGGAGGTTTGACATTTTAATGGCCTTTGGCACAATGTGTATTTACATGGTTTGGGACTTCATCTGGTGGAACACTACTCTAAATTTTCCCTTGAAATATAGACCAGTTTTGAAGAATACAACACTGGTTTTTAAAAGTGCTTTATTTATATGTCTGTGTAAATGCTGGGTGGGTGTGGCAGCCTGCTGATAATCTCAGCCCTTTGGACACAGACACAGGTGATCCCCAGGGCAAGGTGGCTAGCTAGACTTGATGAATTGGCAAGCTCCAGGTTCCTTAAGAGGACCCTCCTCAGTAAATAAAGTGGAGAGTGACTGAGTAAGAAGACACTGGTGTCAACCTCTGGCTTGTACACATACATGTAAACCTGCACACATATTTGCATAAACATGAATACACATATGCATACGTACCATACACATATACACAAAAACATTATAGTGACAATGACTAACACTTCTTAAGCTCTTACTGTTCTAAACAATCCTTAAACTCAAGTAGTGAGTTAGCGATTATTATTCCCCTTTAGCAGAGTATTTGGTGAGTGAATTCCAATAAATTCCTTCAGAATCACTGAACAACTCAAACTCAGGCAGTTTGTACAGTTCCCAACCTCAGCTATCAAGTAATCTCACTGTACTTTGACTTTTTATAACAGAGCTTCACTGAGGCTCACTTACTGATGGAAACCTATGCACTTGCTCAGCCTGAGATCCAGCATGCGTGTGGGAGCACCCATCCTGTGGCACAGGAGCCTGGCAGAGCTGATGTCATGATGGGTGGTGTGGACAGCTTGATCAGGATGAAGTCATGCCTCACCTTTGATGTGCTCCTGTATCTGGGCTATTTGATGATCTTTATTGTACTGATGAACTGGTCAATACCTCACCTAATCGTACATGGAAGCCTCTGCCAAGGGAGAGGAGAGGACACAGAGTTTCTGCTAAGCAGCCATGGAATATCATGTCTTGATGTCTTACTGCAGGCTCGTTCTTTTGCACCTCATCATAACCTGGCAGCCTTTACTTTTCATTTGTTGTATTTATTTTCACTTATGTGATATTTGTGTAAATATCTGTTCAGTGCCTTTTGTTCTAGGCAGTTTAAAATTTCCAATTTAAATTTTCCAAATAATGTCTTATTTGTTATTATGCCTCAAACACAGCATGCACCTAACAGCTACTAATTGCTCTGTGAATATTGATGAATGAATGAATTGAATGACCTGTCACCTTTTTGCGTTGGTAAACTCATCCATTAAGTATTGTCTCCTGTTAGAAGTAATCTCTGAATTTTCCTATGCCCATTCTTGACTTTATCTCTCTGGTGTCCTAGTTAGTTAGATGCCTAAGCTGTTCTGTTGCCTCTCCCTGCTAGAGACCTATGCATGTTGCTACTGTGTTTTTGTAGTTTTACAGGGAGTTTCAATTTCTTTGTCCATTTCTTCAACTAATTGTAAATTCTCTCTAAGAAATAGTTCTGTGTTTAAAATCCAAATTTGAAACTCTGAACCTAGCATAATTCTTTGCTCCTTTGAACATTTGAACCTCATCTACAGCTTTGCCATCAAAGATCATTAGTCACTATCCTGGGGAAATCTTAGCACCTTCTAAATAATCCAGTTGAAAATTATTTCTTATGTTAAACCAGAGAACTGTGCCCTTATAGCTACTAAGCATTTGCTCTGAGACATTGGGAACATAGTATTAGGGGAGTAATAACAAAAAGTTAAATATTAACCACAGACCATCCCCCTACTTTGGGACCAGCACTATTGACACAGCTCCAGGGCTCATATCTTCTCTGCTTAGCAAGTCAAAATAGGCTCACTGGATTCCAATTCTTCAGACCTGGGTCTAGGCCCCTTTATCCTGCTGGAGAGGTCTGGACTCACCAGCCCAGAACCATGTATCCCTCTAAATAAAAAGTCAAAAGTGAGAACCTGAGGCACAGACCAACTAACTTTTCATATCCAATCAGAAAGCATCCAAGCTACATCAACTGTTAAAACAGAACCAAACTTCAGCTCAACAGAGGCAGGCTAGAATTTCATGTCAGACATGCAACCAACAAAAGAAATCCATGTTCCCAGATAAATAATAGAACACCAAGATATTATGCCCCCACCAAACCCCACCAGTCCTATCCAAGTCTGCTAAAATGAGAACTACCTAGAGGAACAGCAGGATGCAGAATTTAAAAGAATAATCACAAACACAAGTTCAAGGACTTTAAAAAACACACAAACAAGCTGGGCGTGGTGGGACACGACTTTGATCCCAGCACTCGGGAGGCAGAGGAAGGCGATCTCTGTGAGTTCAAGGCCAGCCTGGTCTACATAGTGAGTTCCAGGACAGCTGGGGCTATAGGGAGACCCTGTCTCAAAAAGAAAGAAAGAAAAAACACACACAA